GTGTGTATCATACATACACCAAACACTAAACTATAAAATATGACTGCCAATATAAGGCTAGACTATTTCCAAAGATACAAAGACATGTCATCTCTAATATTTGTCTGAATACCTGTACTCTGGTAATAGCTGCTGTTTTCTTGTTTTGTTTTTTAATTTCTGCTAACTCAGGTTCTCTGTTGATTCCTGTAAATCTTTTCTCTCTCCATTTTTTCTTAAAACAAAAACAATCATGCAACAGAACAAAACAGTACCATAAATAAACATGAAACATATTGTTTATTTCCTAATAAATACTGATCACATATTCCAATGATCTAATGAATTTTAATAATTCCAATTATTGTATTTGGAGGTGTGATGGCTAATTATCTGTCGTTTGCGATCCACTGTTTTTGTCGTGATGCCTGTGGTCTTTCAGCACTCCAAAGTCCTATTGGACATTAATGTAAGAGACAAATTGTAATGTGGCTTGGGGATAATAAAGAAAAGTTGCAATATCCATTTATTTGTTTTAGGAGACCTGTATTCCAACATGAGAAGAAAGATGACATGATGGACCAACTGCCAGGATGAGCGGCCTGTCTCACTCATGGTAATGGGACATATGGATGAAGACTAGCGAGTTATGATGTAAATGGAGATTGGGGTGAGACTCAAGAGACATGCCAGAGGTATCTGGTTTGGACTTAATACATCATCAGATGTGAAGAAATGGAAAGAGCTAAGCTCAAAGCTTAGGTGACTGATCAATTGCAATATTATTATTATTATTTGAAAGAGTGAATCAAGCATCGAAAGCATATTTCAAAATTATGAATTTAGTTAGATATATTCCTTATTTGACAGAATCACAGAATCCTTGCAATAATCTTTTTTCTTTCTTTTTTTTTTAAATCAATTTATTGGGGCTCATAAAATTCATCACAATATATAGATCAATTGTGTGAAGCACATCTATACATTTGTTGCCCTCATCATTCCCAAAATTCACTTGTCTTTTGGGTTCCCGGAATCAGCTCATTTTCCTTCCCCCCCCCTCCCCATCCCTTCCTCCTCCCCCTCCCCCATGCACCCTTGATAATTTATAAATTATTATTATATCTTATATTACACTGCCCGGCGTCTCTCTTCACCTACCCCTCTGTTGCCCATCCTCCAGAGAGGAGGTTATATGTAGCTCCCTGTGATCAATTCCCCTTTTCTACACCCCCCTTCCCTCCTGGTATCGCCACTGTCACCCCTGGTCCTGAGTGGTTCATCTGTCCTAGATTCCCTGTGTTTCCAATTCCCATCTGTACCGCTGTGCATCATCTGGTCTAGCCAGGTCTGCAAGGCAGAATTGGGGTCCATTGAAAATAGCATGCAGAGATCAGGAAGGGAAACCTAAATATATGATTTCCATACTTTTGATTTCTTTGAAGTGGGGTCTTTAGATATTTTTTTCTCTTAGACAACAATCAAAATGTCTATTGAAAACGAACACACTCTGTATGCCTTGAAAATCTCAAACCTTCATGCCCCATTTAGTGATCAGGTAGTACAATCTACATTGTAATGGAACTAAAGGCTAAATATATTTTAGAGTTTTAGCATAAGATATTCAAATGTAAGATTAAAGTAGCTGTTCTCTTAGACTTCAGCCATTTTTTTCCACATGGTACTATATGTGTGTGTGCGTGTGTGAACTAAGGGTACTTTAAAAGTATATGAAGTTATATAACTTATAACAATGAGGTGAATGTTTTAGCCTTTGCTATAAATGCTTCACACATGAATGAAATCACTAAAATCTAGCATCTTTGAAAAGGGGGGTTTATATTTCTACTGCAGGCATCTTTCAGTTGGGTTTAAGATCATCTTATTTATCATCCAAACCAGTGCATATTGTTGAGAGTGAAAAGGGCATTATGAATAATTACAGAAGGAAAACAGGAATAAACATAAAGTGACATAGGCAGTTTATGAATCTCTCTATGGTAGAAGAAATGCCATATTTTAAAGGAGATCATATTGCCTACAAACTTTATGTTCAAGTAAAAATTATAACTTCCTAATATGTACTTCATTTTAAGTATGCCTCAATTATTATAGTTAACTGGACTTTGGGATGCTGACTTGAAATAAAATGCATGTTTCTTTCAAGTGAACATAGTTTATTTAATATTCTAAAACTTAACAGCAAGTTCATTTTCTCTTCCTAGTTTTACCTTTACTTTTTTTCTTCAACATGCTGAAAAAAATCTCTGACAGAAATAGAAAAGTAAATGAAGAAGATAAATCTCTAATTCGTGATACCAGCTGTTACATGCTCACACAGCTTTTTAAAGAAGAATATTTCTTCAAAATCTAAGAAAAACATTTCACTTACATTTTCCCCTCAGCTTCCAATACAAAAGTTGGGATCAAGTCCAATAAAAAACTTTTATGGCAATGTAAACTAACTAACACATTATTAAAGAAAAAGGGGAGAAATTGAAAGACTTACTATCAACTTCCCGAATGTAGCATTTCAATGAATCCCTGAACAATGCCACGATACTCAGCTATTACTCAAGTGGGTGGCATATTCTTCTTCTTACAGTTTGATACCTTTGCTTATTATCCCCTTGACTGAACATACAAGACAGTGATTTGAATCTAGTAATGTCTGTATAAATTTCCATTAATAATATAAAGTATTATTAAAACATTAAGAAAAGATATGTGACTCGTTCTAATAGATTTTTTTTTCTTAATTGATGAACTGTGTTAGGTGTTTCTCTGGTACACTATGAAAATTGACTTTGATAATAAAAGAAAAATCATTGATTTCAGGTTTCAAATGTGGTGGTTTGGAAATAGTACTTTGTCAATGCTTTACCTCCCACAGAAAACAGCACGACGGGACACCCAGTAGATTGACAGTAGACAACTGATACATGTTCTTGCGTTTTATATAGTCCCGTGATAATTAAAATGAAATAGTCAGCACAAGAAGATAAATATCATGCTTGGCTATTTTATACAAATGGTAAACGTATACTGCTTTTCTTTGCTGAATGACCCCCACAGCCTCACTGAGTGAAATCCAAGGACACTGCTATCACACAGACGGCTCTCTCAGTGGTCTGGCTCTATCCCTCATTTCCCGGTTAACTGCTTGTAGCTTGCTGTTTCATAGCTCCAAGCTTTTACTTCTGTTCTTCCTTCTGTTCGGACATATTGCCTACTTTCTTCATTGTCCCAAACTTACCAAGCAGAAACTTCAGCTTACAGTGATCTCTGGAAAACCTTACTTGAGTTTCTGGATTAATCTAAATTTCCCAATTGTGTGCTTTGTTGGCATGTAACCAATTGATGTGTTATCTCGGATTGAGCTGTTTATCTCACTCACCTTCAATATTACAAGCTCCTTAAGGAAGAGGGGACAGTAAGTCGGCACAGGTTTGGGTGTGTATAATATTTTTGATGTTAAGAAAATACATCTTGGTTTGAGTCAAAATAAAACACCCACAGAAAGAGTATTGTTTGCAAACGGAAGTCTCCATAGTTAAACCACACAGCCATTTAAGGAGCTGTCTTCTCGTGAAGTGATGGCTTAGATAAACCATGTTTAAACCTTCATTCTGATGTATATTAGTAATGTGACACTGCATAAGTTTCAGTTTCTACGCTACACATGAGCTTGGTAATAAGGCTGCAGAAATAACTCAATTAAACCCTATGGAGTGCACCTTGCACAAATTACATGAGCAATGTTTATTATGCTACTATTGTACACTCTGTTTTGCTTCATTTAATAATTTTTAATGTATAAATTATAAGATAAACACAATATAGATTAATTTCATAGCTAACATTTTATATGCATAGTTACAAAAAAGACATGCAATACATATTGTTTTTACTATGTATCTTTCCTATGTCTTTTCATTTACTTAAAATACCCATTATCCCTGTTTGTCAAATTTCTCTTCTGTCTTTACTGTTGATCTCTTACCTTCTTAATTTGGTCTGTAAGGATTAATTTCAGTTTCATGGGTTGGCACAATACCTTTACATGATATATATATATATATATATATATATGTATGTATGTATGTATGTATGTATGTATATGTATACACACACACACATATATATATACATTTTTTAAAGAATCATTTTATTGGGGGCTCTTACAGCTCTCATAAACAATCCATACATCAATTGTATCAAGCACACTTGTATATATGTTGCCCCCATTATTTTCTAAACATTTACTTTCTATTTGAACCCTAGGTATTAGCTCCTCTTTTTCCCTCCCTCCCACCCTCCTACCCTCATGACCCCTTGATAAATCAAAAATTATTATTATTTTCATATCTTACACCGACCACTGTATCCTTCACACACATGATTTTACTATAGCTTAGTAGATAGTATTAAGCCAAAATGTAATGCAAACATTATTCCCCTATCTTTGAAGTTGTTTCATAGCTAAGATCACTTTTTATTAAAGGAAAATTGTGAGACGAATATTAGAGGAATCTCCAAGCAAGCAATGGCTTTTATTTTATGTTAGAAATCCATTGTTTTATATTAATTAAAATATAAATTTACATTAGAAAACTATATTATATGAAGACAACATAATTAGATTATGAATTATTGAATATTAAAATATACGTAGGTATTGTTTCCATTATTAAAGTTATTATTTTTTTAAGTTATGAAAAATAATTTATATAGGCAGAAATATATACAATTGATAAGTTAGCACCTTCCTTGATATAATATTCAGTTAAATATTCTTCTATTTTATAGTACTCAGCATAATAAAAACTAAAAAATAACCTTTTGAAGTAATTTACCATAATAAACTAATTTGCATTTTGCCTCTTTTACTATAAACATTTTAATGCATTGCTGTCAAAATTAATTTAAAATTTTATATTAAAGCACCTGCAGTAACCTCTACAGGTTCCTTTGATGAGGAGTTAATAAACACAATAAAATAAGAAATTCGTTTAATTTACCTTAATAACTAAATCAAATTTCTGATGAAAGTCTCTGTTTACTGGCTCCAGAAGACGGAGTTCTGCAGTCCTCGGGTGCATATGGAAAAACTGTGGGTAGTCCTCAGGGGTCCCTGAAAGACATTGACAGTGTATAACTGAGAAAAAATAAGGAATAAGTGGTTCTGTTTTATTTGTTTCCTTCATTAGTTTAGGAGCAAAATCACAAGTTCATAAATAAATCAAGTTTGACAATTAGGCAGTCTTGGGCAGCAGATCCAAATGCAGTATAGGAGTAATTAGCTTATGTACAAGGAAATGAAACATATCTCTTGCTTGCATGTTTTTGCAAACACCATTTTATGTGAGTGCTTTCATTAATTTGTCACTTTATCACACGAAGAATGACATGAAGTATATGCAAAACAAAAATTTTATCACAAAAGTATATTATAATATTGAATAAATCTTAATTATAGTATGCATAGTCTTTCAGCATGGCTGACAATAAAAGTAAACGGCAGTTTGCACCAAATATAACCATGCTTGGAAATCAATAGAATATATTTTGTTTATCTAGGTTTATGTTTTTTTAAGATAAGAATAAATTCTATTATATCAAGCATATTATAATAGTTTTGATGAAATTCATAAAGTCTGAAAAGCATGTTTCATAAATGTAGGCTTTTCAGAGAAATGTAATGTATTTTATTCCCTGCAAGAAATTTCCTCAAAGCACATGGTATTTCCAATCTCATGTGCTTTTAAAAAAATTACACAATATAAAAGGATAAGAAAGAGGAATTGCTCATTAGGTTTCTGGTGTTGAAGAAGAAGAATGAATATTCAATGGGCTGCCAGAGGAATGAATACGTCTATCGTGGATGAAGTACAGGCCAAGTAACTGTTAGAAGCAAGGGCGGAAGCGAGACTTGGTTCGTATACTTTGGGCACATCACCAGGCAGATGAAATTGCAGAGAGTTCTCATGCTTAGCAAAGATAAAGATCCATGAAAAAGATTTGAGGCTTTCAGTGAAACGGATTGGCACATTGGCGGTAACAATGGGCTCAAATATAGCAATGATTTTGAGAATGTCCAGATAGTTTTATTGTGTTCCAGATAAGGTTGTTATGATGCAAACTGGCTCAATGATGCCTAACACTAGCTGCAAGAATTATGTTGTATAGCCACCACCACCGTCAGGATCCAAGAGGCCCATGATGTTCACTTCTTATCTCTAGCCACCAATCTTCTGGTCACGGTCTCTGTAATTTTGTCTTTTTGTGAGTGTCCTAAAGCAGTATATAAAAGATCAAGGTGCTTCACATCTTCATTAAAGCTTAATATCATCGCTCTAAAAAATACTTAGTCAGTTCAGTAGGCTTCTAGTACATTTATTTACATTGAAATTTAGATTTGCATTTTCCTACGACTAAAACCCAAGTCCACTGCCATCAAGTCAATTCTGATTCACAGGGACCCTCGGGTTTGGAGTGGAATTGCTTTCTGAGTCTGGAACTTTTCAGAACTGAAAGCCTCATCTTTCTCCCCCAGAGCGGCTGGTGGTTTTGAACTGCTCACGCTGGTATTACTTGCCAAATGGCCACCCCTTACATCATCCGTTTCATATAGTTAGTTCAAAGACAGTGCTTTCAATGCTATATTTAAGAAACTATTTCCTAAGCTTCACCATTTCCCCCCCAGAAATTTTGTAGTTTTTCTTCTTACATTTTGGTATTGGAATTCTTTCAGGTAAATGTATCTTGTGCAAGGTATAGAATAAGGTGTAGTTCTCAGCATAAGCTCATATAATTGTTCCAGCATTATTGTTTAAGTAGTGTTTTTCCCCTTTCATTAACTTACTACTTTCTATCATACTTGAAAACACTACTATTTAACAGACTTTTAAAATGAGCAGTAGTTAACTGTAATTGTCAGGCATATTACTTCTGACCCTCTAGAAATAGCAAATGGCATGAGATCCTGAGGCAAATTTAACATCTCTTGTGTTATTTGTAACCAATAGAAAATAACTTTTTGAATGGCTTATGCATTGGCTAACATACATCTCATACACTACAGAATAACAAATTGAAATTAATTCAAGATCATGTTTTTGTCTCTACATCAAGAAAGTAAATGGCCACATGTAAAATATTTAATCAGGAATCTGTTACATAATGAAATCGCACAGAATTCTTCTCTTGTAGATGCCTCAAAAACTTCATGGAAATATGTGGCTACTCCTCAAATTTTAACATTGTAAATATGTAGACGTTTATGATTAACCTCAGTCAAGTGTTACTAAAGGATACACCCATAATATATTCTGTTTAAAAATATGTACGCAATATGTCATATAGATATAATGTAGGATATATAATATGTAATATACATATTAATTTGAAATATAAACTCATAACTGAATTTTTAGTAAAATTCCTTTCAGTAATCTCTAAATGTTGTCTGTCTCACAAAAGTCTGGGTGCTTTTAAAGTATTAACACGTTGTTCAAGAACAGAAGAGCATGTCTGAGCATACGGTCAATACAGAATCACTCGCTTCATGTCATTTGGAGACAGCAATAACTATTCATTTGTGTTAAGTTATACCTCATTAAAGATGAGCCCTGGGAGGTAGTGGTTATGCTTTCTGCTGCCATGTGCAAGGTCAGCAGTTCAAAAGCACCAGCAGATTCAGACAGAGAGAAAAAAAAGGTGCTTCCTCCTCGGGTAAAGAATTGTCATTTCAGAAATTCACAGGGGCAGGTCGACCCTGCCCATTAGGACTTCCGTGAGTGTGCATCACCTCCATCACACTTGAACATATTTCACGCATCCAAAAAAATTAGCTTCTTAAAAGGGACCTAAAACCTTGGGCATTTTCTTTCGCCAATCTCTGTTTTGATTTAATCTACAGTTTAATTGTATTAAAACTCTCACTCAAAACTCAACTCACTCTTTTGATTGAGTCAATCCTGACCCATAGCCATCCTACAGAACAGAATAGAACTACCCCTGTGGTTTCCGCTGACTGTAAATCTTCACAGGAGTCGAAGCATCTTCTTTCTCCCAAAGAGCAGCTGCTAGTTTCAAACTACAGACCTAGCAGTTAGCAGAACAGTACTTAATCCTCTATGCTATCAGGGCTCCTAACAAACCCACTGCCATCATCAAAGAATGGCCCCTGTGGTTTCTGACACTAAATCTCTAGGGAATAGCAAGTCTGATCTTTCTCCCACAGAACAGCTGATGGTTTTGAACTGCTGACCTTGCAGTTAGCACCCAAAGAGCAAACCACTCTACCAGGAGCCTAAGTATAAGGTAAATTAAAAGGATACTTCTATATTCAATTCACGTGCTATCCCTCTTCAAAACAATTTTAATCTATGGTTTGAAGCATATTTTTCTCCAAGACTTAAGTTCTTATTAATCTTTAATCATTCATATATAATTTCAAATTTATATGAAGGATATTACATTTAGAATCAGTTCAACATAGTGAATATAATTAACATTCCTCACTTCCACAACTAAATCTGGCTAAAATATAAATTTTTAAAGGATAGGATAAGCATATGTTCTTGTTTTGAATGTGCTTTAATTACACCTTCTTCTTGACAATACATATTAACTTGTAATGCATGACATGTCTATTATACAGGCTGCAAGATTGGAGTATGATTTATAGCATTCTGTCACCATCTTTCCTAAGGATAAAGAAGTGAATTCTAAAAAAATGTGAAGTAATTAAAGTTTAAACTGTACTTTTGTCATTGTTTAATATGTTACATTAGAATGAAGATAATATAATCTCAAAGAATATCTGGAAAAAACCCCACACAGTGCAAACTTTTCCTCCAGTATCAGCAAATGCTGAGATGTAGTGGCACAAGTGCATTTGACATTAAAATGGCACAGTATCTTTCTTTTATGACACTCCATAATCCCAGAGCTCTCCAGAGAGAAGCTCTGTGCCTGTCTTTCCATAAAGAAATAATTTCTCAAGGTTAACAACCAGTTTTGCATTCCGCAAAGTCAGTTTGGCAAATACATTGCTAAGTGGTTTTTAAAAAAATAACCATTCTAGTAATCGCTACGACCATGAAAGTTTGTCATAACATTTTATCAGTAACTATATGTATTGTTAGTTAAACTGAAACAAAGAATGGAGAAAAATTTATAAAAATATATAAACGTTGGCAAGAAAACAAAATCTTTAAAATCTACATTTTTAGTGTTATGTGGACAAGAAAAGGCACATACCAATTTATTGTTAATTATTTGAAAAAAGATTATTGTAACATCATTGACATTCTATTTTTAACATCATTGACATTCTATTTATAACTGTAACTCTAGAAGAGAAAAACATTTTATGAAGAAATATCTTTTACTCGGCATTTTACATCTGCACCTTCTGAACCTACTCTATGACACTGAATATGTCTTAGTTGGCTATAGTGAAAAAATAAGCTATGTATATATATATACATATATATAGATATATATAGATATATATCTTACCAAGGAATCAACACTTATTATTCACTAATATAAAATGAAGATAATTAAGAACTACTATATTAATTGTTTAAATAGCATACAAGGATAAATCACTAAGACAAATAAAAAAATGAAAATATGTATTATAACTAACACGAGTATCCATTAGCCTATTGCTATATAGTGGCACTAGGGCCTGGTAAGAAGTTAATTATACATATATATGTATATAGATATAGATATAAAAATAAACTAATATGTATCTTATAAATTAATATATATCTTATAAGTTAGTGTATATATATATCTTATAAATTAATTCAATCGTTCAAGTCTTCTTTTTTCTAATGAAGTCATCAACAGTAACAGAAGGTAAAGGAAGCTCCTTTCTCTCACCATCAGACTATTTTTGTTATTTTACATCCTCTGTAAATAGATGGTGCTATTATAAAGTATTCAAGAAATTTTGACATTATTTTTCTTAATAAGCATTGTCAGCTTCTGATTCTGAACACTTTCTGCTGATTAAATGAGAGTAAGCAATATACTATTGCTACTGTTTCCGGTTTATACAGGTGTGGCATTCCTCTAGATAAGATGTCTTCAAACTTGTCTCTATAAATAGTG